GGTGCTGGTTCAGTTTCGGTTTCTGATAATGGACGTAAATCTTCTTCAGACATTTTTCTTGTTACAAGAAAAAGCCATCTAAATCAGAACAAAATTAAATCATCTCTTTTTTTTCCTTCAAATATCTATGAATTACTTACAAATTTAAAATAGAAGGGATAATACAAAGTCCAGCACCAATAAATAATGTCAAATTTCTATTATTAACTACTGTACGAGCATAAACCCAATTAAATAATGACGTACCAAATAAAGTTATCATTGTATTAATTTCTGTTACAAATGCAAATGCATGTGAACGTTCATGTGGTTCTAACCATTTTGACATCATTGATAATGTTAATGAACCTTGATAGCCAGAAAAAGCACTAAGTAATAATCCAGCATACAATTCCCAACTATAATTAGCAAAGGCTAACCATAAAGTTGAACCAAAAAAAAATATATGACTTATTAAACAAATAATTGCATCCGAAGCACCAATATTTGTTAATGCTTGCATACCAAGTAAACTTAATATAGCATAAGATATAGCTGCTAATGCTGAATAATTTCCAATATCTCTAGATGTCATACAAAATGGAGCATTCAAAAGAAACCATAGAAATGGTGCAAATGTTGATGATGCTAATGTATAAAAAATATTTGAAAATAATGTTAAAAAAAGACTTGTTGATTTCTTTTGTGTTCGTCGATTGCATCGAAATACTGTACATATTTGAAAAAATTGACTACAACTATTTGATGAAAATTCATTAAATTCATTTTCATTTATGGAAGTTAATAAAGGTGTTTGTTCATTTATATTCATAGAATTCGATGATTTAAATATAAAAATACCAATAAAAATTGAAAGTAATTCAAATCCTAAACCCATCCAATAAAGATCAGTAAAACCACGCCATTCAATATAATATCCAATAGCAAGTGTTGCTATCGATGATAAACCTGTTTGTATTGCACCAAGACGAACAAAACGTGATGATAAGTCACTATCAATTGTATTATCAGTAATAATTAATGTTAATATAAAACCTTAATAAGAAAAAATAATTTTAAATTTTATTCAAAAAATAGAAATATTTTATTTCACTTCATACTTAAAACACTACTAGAACCTGATAAACCATTAATTATAGCAGCTATATACCACCAATATTCAGGTAGATGAAAATAAATAATTGTTAACCAAATAACAAATTGAGCAAAACCACCAATCATTGGTAATATAAGTACAAAACGTTTACCTAATGTTGGTATATACAGACTAAGAATATAAGTCATAATTATTATTGGACAACTACTATACAAATTTGTCCAAAAAAATAAATCAGCTGAGCGTTCTTGTGCCCAAGCTTGAGCATCTTTTGTTGAAGAAGTATCACCTTCTATACATTTATTATTATAATCCTTGAATTTTGTTAAAGAAAAATAGTTAATTGTAGTGTAATTCGAAGTACTATTTGATGGTATTGGATATGTTTCAAGGTAATATGCATAAATATATTGTCCAATTGTTGTAGTAATACATGTACATAATGTTTGAAAAGATAATATAGTTTCTATAATATAACTTCGAACATCTTCTGCCATAATAGATTAATTTTAAAATATAAAACAATCAAATTCGTGTTATTTATCATGTGCTGAAACATGTGTCTCTTCCTTTATTCTATAGAGCATGTATGTATGATTAATCATCGTATGATTTGATTGACAGAACGCGAAAGAAAAAAATGAAAATCAAATGGATTGTTATTTAGCCAATAATCTTTATTTTATTTTAAACTATCATGATTTGTCACTACTAGACAATACTATCTTATATGAACAAATGTTACTATAGAAGTAATACAAATTTGTAAAAATGTGAAAGCAAAAAATGTCACAAGAACAATTTTTAATTTTTGTGCTGAATATTGACATTGATCGAATTCGAAATATTTTTCATAGCAGGAGTTCGATGCAAGATTAATAGATGAAAGTACTAATGCAATTATTATTAAAAGACATGTAATGATATGAATTAATTTAAATCGTTTTAAAGATGATATCTGTTTTTCCGACTGACTTATAAATATAATAAGATATATTCCCAATGTAATACATAAAACACCTGCCCAAATTCCAGTAAATGGATAGGATTCATTCATACCAAACAAAAGAATACCACAAACAATTGATGTTAAACCAATGAGTATATGAAGTAAACCATTTGCAAGTATGTATCGTAAGAATTTTGTCGATAAATCTATGGATGTACAAGGAGGTGGTGGTGGTAGTCTTTCTTGATATTCATTTCGTATTTGAGGAATAGTATATATAGATGTTGGCGGATCTAGTGAATAAGCTGGAGGTGGCCCATATAAATCATCTCTAGACATAGACCAATTGTTAGTCATTTGACTTTTTATTATATATTTTACAAACGACTGGTAACTGCACGCAGTGATGCAATAAAACGAAGTAAAAAATTATATCAAGATCATAATAAGAGAGAGAGAGAGGGAGGGAGAGAGTGAATAAAAGCATAAAGTAATGAAGTGCGAGACAAGAAAAGAAGAAAAAAAGGAAGGACGAATAATTGAAGGTCATCATGCAATATGTGTGATCCAAGCACGTCAAAAGGATCATTATGATGAAAATATATACATAGTCTAAGGACAAGAGTTCATTAATCAATTATATAGCTTTAGTATCATATTGAATTTAGGATTTTCAAGGATGTTTTATTCAAATACTATATACAAATTTCAGATGATATTTAATATCTGTAAACAAAATTTTTTTTTAGAATAAAATAAGTTAAATATTGTCAATGTCATTTCTTAGAATAAACTCGTTAACTGTGTCAAAGTATAGTGATCGAATACTATGACAACAATAGAAGCCATTAGATATTTGTTTTCATTTCTTTTCTGAGACAATACATTGATGATTGTGATTTTATAATAATTCTCGATTTATCAATACTTGAATACTAGTCAAATTTAGTTTTCGTGCATATACGTATCTTTCATTAATAAAACCATTCTCCAGTCTCACATAATTCATGAAATGCCTAGTAAATTAAAGATTCAGATTGATTAAAAAAAGTTTCAAACAGCTGATGGCGGAATATATATGCAGAATATGTATGTAAACACTATTGAATAAATAATTGCTTGATTGTATGGAGCTTGTAGAATAATAAGTCGACCTTGATAATCACATTTAATTATATAGTCTAACATAAAGAATTGTCTGTAATATGAACAAATGTACTACCATTAGTAAAAAATGGATTAATCCATAGTGAGATCGAAAGTTTCAGTTTGAAAAGATAAAGCGAAAGATACCGAATCGTAGTTCTATTATATATCATCAAATGGAATAAACCATCGACAAAGACTATAGCACCCAGATATCGTATTTATGACAACAGGCGGTTCAACTTTGGTTTCAATTATTAGGTAGCTAAGTTAAAATCTTTATGAATGTAAGCTTCCACTTATGCCATGAACCATAAATAAGTCGCTTTGTAAGTACTCAGCAAAATTTTTGCTTTCTATTATATTTTGATCTTTCTTTTAGGGTACGTCTGTTTTATTTTCTTGTTAAAAAAATAGATTGAAAAAAGTGAATCGATTCTCTAGTTCTGACAAGAAGATGAAGCAAAGTTTCAGATTAAAACTCTGTTGAAATTAAAGCCAGAAGTAAACCGAAACGTAATCGAGTCGATATGTATAATGAAATCTTTGGACACGTCGTATTCGATCAAGAGCAGATTGAATTGTAAGACAATGTTGTCGTGTCGTTACATCATTCAAGGATTGTGGCATATACTGAAATGATGCAGTAGATAAATATTTGAATCGATCAAGAAAAGAAAACATTTTTGCTATTACGCATATATGTTTTACATATAAATGTTCGATATTTGGAAAAACAATAGATAATTTTTCAATATTATAATCATTATCATCCATGTATGATGGATTTATTGTTAGTATTCGTATATTTTCAAGTGTTTTAGAACGAATTTCTTTAAGGAAGTATTTTACACAAACTGAAAGTGATATTTGACGTAGATTTGACATTTTATCTAAGGTTTCTATAATCGGAAAATTGTCTACCATTGACAATAAAATAAAGTGTTGAATTCCATTTAAATTAACGATTCGTTCAATAGAGGATAGAATAACAGGATAACACAGCGTTAATGTTTTTACATGCATATATTGATGCTCCACGTTATATGCTGTTTCTGAAAGATCTAATGTATCAATGCAATCGCTGAAAATTCTATTATTAGGTAATGTTGAATAAACTGGAAATTGGAAATATTCTTTAGCAAATCTTGTATTAAAGCATGGCACTGAAAACAAGCATTGATATCCATAGGCTACAAACCACTGTTTTTCTTCAAGCCAAAATGACGTACGAAATGAGTTAAGATCTTCTGATTCCAAATGACTAAATAAATTGAATCTAAAGTTAAATGTAATGAGATGCTGCATGTTAATTTGCAATCGATGACCATCAATTACATTGTTGTGACAAGAAGCAGTTAATGTAAGATGTTTAAGGCGTGGTAGATTTGACATCATTCTTTCTATATCGTTTATAGAGCAAACGAAGTCTAAAAATTTGGATAAATATATTATTTGTATTTTTTTATACGAAATTTTTTACCGTCAATCACAAGAGTGAGTCGAGTGAGTTGAAGCAATGGGTAAACTATTTTTGTAGATAAATTATGACATTGAATTTTTGTATCAAGCGATTTTAATTGTGGTGCCACAGAAGATATATGTTTAATTGTATTAATCGAAGATCTCTCAAGTATTAAATGACGAAGATTAGGAAATTGAACTGATTCGAAAAAATCTCCATGACATAATCTCAATCGATACAATTGAGATAATATGGGAGCATAACTACTAAATAAATCGATATCAATCTGTGTAATGGCTGTTCCTGATAAATTCGATTTCCAAAAAGCTTCACGTAAATTAATGTAAGAAAATGAGTATAATCTCTTTAAATGTATCAATTGAGTTATAATACTTTTCCATAAATCTGATCCAATATCAATTAATGTCAATGATTGTAGATGAGTAAATTGTTGAATTTGAAAACGTGATAAGAAAAGTCCTCCTAAACCAGGAGTATTTTCATCATTGGAAAGTGTTAATGTAGTAACTTGATTTGGTATAATATGTTGACAAATAAGATTAAAATTTGTTCTTGAAATCGATTTAAAATTTATTCGATAACATGTATAAGTTAATAAAATAGCATCAATATAGGAAGTAACATTCATAAATGTATAAAAAATTTCATCAGCTGTAAAATAACTTAATAAATGATGAATAAGTTCCACTGGTAAACTATCCACCATTATAAAGAAATAAAATACTATTCAATCTTGTAATGCACAAAAAATATATGCAATTACTGTGTAATACTTTACTTGTTGTTTTTTCTTTTTTTCAAAAATATGCACATGTTTAATAATCAAAAAAAAAAGAACTGTTGTAAGAAAATGAATCAGAGATTTGTAAAGTTCGATAGTAAGATTTTATTGTGTAATTAGAAGATAAGTGTGACTATTCGACTTTTCTATATGAATGCTTATCTATTGGAATAAGATATTAAGAATGTCATCGATTAGTATGAACACGACAAATTATTTTACAGCTGTCGAACAATTTATAATCGGAAACAATATGTTCTATTTCACACGTATTCATATCAGTAATGACAATTGTTTTCCTTGGGGAGTCTTTATATTGTTTTGATCTATTCATTAATATAATAAGAAATATTTCTATAGTTGATGAGTCATGATATATTTTTTAATAAATAAATACATTGTACAAACAGAAAAAAAAGAAGATTCAGAAGGACTAGAATCGAACAGAACGAATAACATCAGGTGATGATCGTCGCTGATTAATATCATTGAAAGGTGTCAATGTTGAATGAATAAGTGGTAATATAAGTGTAACAGGAAGGATATCCGGCATGATTGTATGATGAAGAACAAGTGTACTTAAATTGTGAAATGTTTTTGAAGAGTACTAAATAAAAAAAAATCAAAAGAAATATATTTATTTTATTGATATCGAGACAAACCTGTAATCGATAACCATCATTATTAAATGTTTGTTCAATAAGAAAATGTTCAACTTTTGATAAATTTGTTTTTATTGATAAAACAAATGGATATTGTGGATAAGTATAACTATGTCGAATAATAAATGAACCAATTGATTTATTATTATCATTCAAATATTCTTCACATATATGACGTGGTAAACCTTCTTGATACCAAGCAGCAGCTGATAATAATTCTTTATCATTATGAATTAAAATTTGTTCTGGTGTATCAACAGACATTGATATTATTGATTGAGTATCTAAATCTGTTTGTTTATGAATTTTTGAACGTAATTTATCAATTTGTTCTTCTAAATTCCATACACTTTCATAGATTTCTGTTTGATGTGGAGTATCGATTTCTAGTTTTGATGATAATAAAAGTGATGCTAAACTTTTATGTTTTGATATCTTTTCTCTAAAATATTTTGTTAAACCACCATGACGACGATTTGATGATGAAGATAAACTTAAACGTGAACCATAACCAGACGAAGACGATAATGATGTTGTTGATGATGATGTATTACGATCATACCGAAATGAATCGGTTGTACGAAAACCGTCAATATGTTGCATTTAATCTAGAATATATAAAGCTGTTTATATTTGATGTCATCATATACATATATGAAGTGTGAAAACTATTGAATTGAATTGACACGCAATTAGGTGTAATAATTTTCAAACATAAACAAAGATGAATATTTATTAAAAAGGTCAAAATATTCTTCGATTGATTTTTTTATTTTGAAAAAAATAACAGATATTTTCCTCACATAGATCAATACAAATTTCATATACTTAACTAGGATAATCTTTAGCTTAATTCTCAACATAATATTATGAATTCTTAGATACTTTACATATATATGTATACTAACCTTTTTTTCTTTCTTGAAATGTGTTAGCTCAATAATCAATAGATAAAAGTTGATTAATAAATAAAAATTGATGCTTTTATATGTATGAGAGCATCTGTCTGATCAAACTAGTCTGTCACTAATGTATGAACCGCAAGAGAAAAAAAGAATGATACTTCAATTGAACTCCAACTGTTATTATCAGAAGAAGAGAATCGTTTCCATTCTCTCTCTCTCTTTCTCTCCTCCTCTCTTTCATTTTCTTATCATGATAGGAAGAAAACATCGTTTTAATACAAAGAGAAGATGAAGAAAAAAAAACGAACTCATCAAATAGTTCAATTGTCTTTTTTTCTGTCCATACACGCGCGCATGTGTATTGATCGATCGATCGTGTTATGCTTGAAAAAATATCTTTCATTCAATGCCCTTGATTTCTTTTTTTTTTCTCAGTAATGGTCGATTGATATGTGATAAGCATATACACAGCCTTGCATGCGCATACGAAAAAAAGAGATAGATAAACATCTGTTCATCTTTTGACAGCACTTGACTGACAAAGAAGAAAAAAATGGTTCTCTTTGTACTATTGTTTTTATTCCAAAACTTAAATCAATACAGGAAATATGTAGACAGACGTGCCTAAAGCAATTATTGATGCATTTTTTTCCACTTGTCTCGTTCCATCTTATTTTCTTCTAATGAGTTCTGTCCTAGTGTTGACCGATATTGCAAGAGAGAAAGAAAGAAAGAAAAAATTTACACAAACTACGGAACTGGGTGGACAGATTGTTATTTAGTGATATAAAATAATGAAAATTTGCGTGTGTTCATATTGAATCGATTGGAGATAAATGGCGGAAGCGCGCTAACACACGCACATCATCAGATGAGTTCAATGATAGCTATCAAATGTCCGTTCATTTGTCAGTTATACCGTATGATTTTTTTTTATAGATAGGATATGAATTATTATGAAATAATTTATACATTTTATTTGACTTCGATGAGATAGATATGTATGAATTACTCACTCTACTATATTTTAATTCATAAAAGATGATGTTAAAAGTAAATGATAACAAGACAGATGTCATAGAAGACACGCTTTGAGGTGTGAAAAATAACAATATCAAAAGAATGCGCAATGCTCTTTGAGAGTAATTTAATAACATATATGTGTGTAACAATAGAGAGAGATTGGCAAATATTCTATACATAACTTTTTTGCTAATTAAATGAAAATTTTAGTAATTGATATTGTCAATAGATCAAAATCAATTAATCTTATGATATAAGCGCACAATCGTAGATATTTTTGTTATACAACCTATTTTTAATTTCTGATTGTGAAGTATCTTTCAAGAATGTTATGATAATAACTGAAAATGATACAAAAGCTAATCGATCTTCTATAAAGTGAATGGAATCAATGTATGGCTAGTCTTAATATATTTCAAAAATGTCATTTAATGAATATGAGATTGGTTTTTAAAAAATGCGGAAACATACAGTTCCATAGAGTCTATTATTCCATGCTTGTATAAATATTTTTTAAACTGATTATATCTGTCATGGATACAATCGATCAAATTACTTTATTTTTCAAATATATATGAAAAAAATTGTTACAATATTTGACAAATACAATCATTCGTACGAATTCTTTGTATTGCTCTCTTCACATTTCAGTTCTCTTTGAAAGTACTCATATTATTCTTATATATAAAAGAGGAAAAAAAGAAAATTCTTTCTTTTTTTTAGACGTTTTGTAACGCTTAAACTCATTTTTTTCTTTTAGGAAAATTACTGTTGTTGTCAATAGTTCTGCTAAATAAATAGGTAAGGAACGACTCATGTTTTTTTTCTTCTTTTCTTTCTAACCATAGTAAATTCTGTCATTTCTTTTTGTGTAAAATATTTATTCAGGCTTGAATCATAAGAAACTGACTAATGGCGAACAAATTAACAAGTACTCAACGTAACGAATTAAAAGAAGCTTTTGATGTATTTGATACGGGTAAATAAAATAGTTATCAAATTAAACATATTATTTATTATTTGTATTTTTTTTATCTAGATGGTTCAGGTAAAGTTTCTGCATCAGAATTAGGTCAAATACTTCAAGCATTAAATATAAAATTCAATGATAATCAATTAAAACAATTAGTTCAAAATATGGATTCAAATGGAAGTGGTTTGTATATAAGAATTGTATAAGAAGAAAAACAAAATGTTTATTTTTAAAATAGGAGAGATTGAATTTGATGAATTTGCTTGTGTAATGGCAGAAACATTTTTTAAGAAATATTCTAATGATGAATTACGTGTTGCATTTCAACAATTTGATCGAGATGGTTCAGGTTATATACAAGCAGATGAACTTGAAAATATTATGCAAAAAATGGGACGACGTTTTAATAAAGATGAAATTGATGCAATGATTACATCATTAGATAAAACTGGAGATGGAAAAATAGGATTTGATGAATTCGTTCAATTATTTCAATAGGTTTTTCTTTTATGACAAAAAATGTTTATTTTTTTTCTCATAAAAATACATGAGTACGTAGAAATACAGAACAACAATAAAAAAAATTAATCACCTAAAATTTTGTAAACAACGATAATTGGAAAACAATGGTAAATATGTATGAAAATTTGTATTACAGATTGTATATATCAATGGATTCCATCTAAACAAGATACAAACATAGTTTTCATGAAAATAAAATATCAAATCTTAAATAGCATACATTAAACTTGTTTTAGCAAATAAAGCTGGTATTGTATCCATGATAGGTGGAAAATAATTTCCATTCATAAATATTCGTATTAACACAAATATTGCATATGGTGTCCAAGCCATAAAAAATCCACCTAAACAAATTTTATGAATTTCAATGTATAATATAGTTTAAAACTTCGGAGAACAACAAAAATAATTTATATAGAAGATGCTAAGTTCTATATCTTAATTCGAAATCAATCATATGATAACATGTAATTGTTAAATCGGTATTATCAAATTTCACTATTTTACACAATGTATTATTAGAACTACTATTTTATAGCTTTAGTTTACTTAAAAGTATAAAACACTGATTGACTCTACTAATTTTTTAATAAATAGTGATTATAAAAAGCTTTGTTCTAATTAGACATTAGTTTCAGCCGTGCTTCTAATGACTAAGATCAAATTTTTAAATCTTGATTTTACATGTTTATATTCTTACTCTGAAGTTGTAATAAAAACTATTTCTTACCGATAATAAAACTAATAGTAAATGCAACACGACGTTCAATTTGATGCTGAAGTCGAACACGTGATGAATCACGATTTGTTGTATTACAACGCCAACGATTACGAATCTTAGTAAACAATATATTTTCATCACAAAAAAAAAACAACATTGCTTACCGAAGTATAAACTTTTATATTTGTTATGAATATTATTATCATCGGTATAAAATAAACAAAAATAAAAATAGTTATATTATAACTAATTATATTAAATGATCTTCCTGCCCATTGAATACTACATGACATTCCCAAACCCTAAATTTAATCAAATAATCATTCTATCAACATCATTAAAAAGCAAACCTCATAATCATAAGTAGACCATCCAAATAATGGCATTAATGTCCAGAATAATGCTAATAAATAAGCACAACAAATCAATACATATGGTCGTTTAATATTTTTGATTCGTTTTGAAAAAGAATGAATTATTATATTGTGTCTAAAGTAAGAAATAAAATAAAAAATTATTTCTCAAAATCTTATAACCTGTCAATTGACATCAAACAAAGTATATACATATTAGAACAACCAGTAAAATAAGTAATAATAGCTTCATAAACACAACCTGTATATGTAAATATCCATCTATAGAAATATTGTAATTATTATTTACTTTTTTATTAGAAAGAAACAATTCAAACCTGCAAAAAATAAGTGAAAAAGCTGGTAATGGTAATTCAAAACAGGATCCAATAAAATCTGCTAATAATAAACCACCAATAAAAATATTTGTCGATGATTGGCGTAATTTTTTATTTCGTATTAATATATAAAGTACTAAACCATTTAAGAAAGTACCAATTATCCAAAGAAAAATAAAATAATAACCAATTGGTCGTAATATATGACATGATTCAAGTTGTTTCGATAATGAAATATTAGAAATATTTAACATCGAGAAATTTATGGATATGAACGTTCGATCATTATTTAACATTATACTAGATAATCAAAAATGAAGAAGATAGTATTCATACATCTATTTTTTTCTTATTCTGCAGTTTATAAAAATTTCAGAAATAGCAAAAGAATTCTCTATTTAACATAAACTAAGAAGCATCTTCAACGTACTCTCTTATTGTTATTAATGTCGATTTACTGAGATTACTCATTAAATTCCATAAGATTCTTTTGCTCCCAATTATCGTCTACTTATAAAACAGACTATTGAGCACGTTCTTTTTCATCATTAAAATGATTAATTAATCTCTTTATATTAAAACTTCGTAAATGGCATAAATCTTAGTGAAGTTTCATTCCATAGAATTAGTTTGTAATATTCAATTCAAGTCGATCTGCTTTTGAACTTTGATACAATTTTCTATAGAAGAAATGAAGTATTTATTCTAATGATTCAAAATATTCTCCACAAAAATAAAACTTACTTTTAAAAATTGAATAATAATTAAGTCTCGTGTAAACTACAACATGTCCAATAAGATGATGAATAGACAGTTTGTAAACATAACTATACAATTTATTCTCTATCTCGTAGAGAAGGCTCTTATAGAAATAAATTGTTTGCTTGCTTGCTTGATTGTGAACCCACAGGATCAAAAACACATCGAACACTGATTTTCCGGAAAAGGCATTTCTCGAGGTATTTCGATGCGGCGACTTCGAATCTGAAGTCTTTTGGGTGACCAAGATGAGGGGAGGATAAAGGTCAAAAAAACATCGAAGAGCGATTTTTCACGATTTTCAATTGTTTTTCTAGTAAATGTGAAGAGGTTGCATTTCTACGAGAAAGAGCTAAGCGTGTTCTCGGACGAGCGTTACTTGTGATACAATGAGAAAAACACAAAAAATTTTGAGAAAAATTAAATATATGAGAGCAAAAATTTATATCATATCATTATCTTCAGATGATGAATAACGAAATGTTGTTATTTTTTAAATAAATTTGCCCATATGCGCAGATGATGAACAGAATCCGACGGATATAGAATCTATAAAAATAGAATAAAATTTCATTTAGATTCATCTGCGTCATATAAAGTATCGATAACGGTACTGAATGTCAAGTCGAACTATGAAACTATATTTCCCTGGTATTCTAAATGAAGTGTTCACTGTGTTCTTAACTGGGAATACTTAATATCATACATTTCTAATTAATAATTTATATTCTTATAAATATAAATTCGAGATATTATATAAGTTTCTTTTCTCACCTCTTTTTTTGTTTTGTCAAATAAATGACTGATAAATTGTTTGGGAGTTGTATTTAACAACCCCCAAATGCTAAATGTATCATTTTGAAAATTATGTGTTGCTAATTCACGCTAAAAAGGGAGGGTGTGGACGAGGTACAGTACTCACACCCACACCCACCCTCAAGATTCCGGTGAACAGATCCAGTTACAGGATTTATCCAGCTTCGCCGGGAACTGACAGGAACCAGACGAAAATGGCAGCCAGATACAGTCACCGGATTTCTTCGTCGAATTCCTAACATTTTGCTGTTGGTTTCAGCCAGAAACGGTATGTTTCCTGCGGGATTCAGTTGGAACATCGCGGGATACCGCTTCAAGAATCATCGTCCTGAGTAGGAACTATACAATAAAATGATGAATAAATAGTTGTAAACATACCTATATCATTTATTCTCTTACTCGTAGAGAACACTCTTGTACAAATAAATTGTTTACTTGCTTGTCTGTGTGTCCACAGGATCAAAAACACATCGAACACTGATTTTCCGGAAAAGGCATTTTTCGACGTATTTCGATGCGGCGACTTCGAATCTGAGGTCTTTTGGGTGACCAACATGAGCGGGAATAAAGGTCAAAAAAAAACATCGAAGAGCGATTTTTCACGGTTTTCAATTGTTTTCCTAGTAAATGTGAAGAGGTTGCATTTCTACGAGAAAGAACTAAGAGAGTTCTCGGACGAGCGTTACTTGTGATACAATGAGGAAAACACAAAAAAACATTTTGAGAAAAATTAGATATATGATACAATGAGTTATACAAAACAAGAAAAAGAATCAGTTCAATTTTTTTCTAGTAAAAATTCATATCATCATGTTCAGAAGATGAAGATAATGAAATCTTTTGTTGTTCATCAATATGAATATGTTTATCACATTTATCACAATAATTTGGTGAATGATGATTTTTGCGTAAGCCAGCAGAAACATATCTTGAATCAGATGAGTATAAGTTTGGCCATATACATAGATCAAGATCAGAATATGACGGATTAAGAATCTTAAAAAAAAGAATAAAATTTTGTTTTTGTTTTCTTGATAGCTTTTAACATGCTGTTAAGTATATAGTCTATATGTATCATATCACAAAGTTTTAAATGTGAACATATCTTTTCTTTATATTAATGATATACATCATTAAATTTCAATATTTCTCTTTTAGAATAAAAAAAGAACGAAAGATTTACAATTAATTTGACTGGTTGAAATCGATATCTGTACTGAGTTTCAAGTCGAAATTTGAAACTATATTTTTATTGTATTCTAAATGAAGTGTTAAGAAAAATATTATATCATAGTGTTCACTCTTTTCTTTGAGAAGAGACTGCGCTTTGTTTGAAAATACTCTTTTCAGAACCAAGAAAACGTAATCTCACATATTTCTAATTAACAATTTATATTCTTATGAATATCTTCGAGTTATTAAATAAATTTTCTTTTTCTTACTTCTTTTCTTGTATCATCAAATAAATGATTAATAAATTCTGTTGATTGTATATTTAATAAACTCCAAACGCTTAATGTTTTTGCTTCTAAATTAGCAATTGTTTGTTCAAAATGTTTATTAAATAAAAATATTTCATACAAACAAGAATAAGTATGTGCAGCTAATTCCCGCTAAAAAAAAGGTGGGCGTGGACGAAGTAAAATACTCACACCCACACCTTCAGTATGGTAACGCAAACCGCATCGATTGTTCCTTCCGACTACGCGAAGCGACAGCTTGTGCCAAGAGAAGTGACGGACATCCTTTTGAATGACATCCCTTTTATCTATTTCACTAATACGTGATCTTTTTGAGCACTATTTATTTGCTAAGTAGTTTTAAATAAATGCTAAGTAAAAAATTCAATTTTTTCTAAGTAATTTATTCAAGAAAATTCTAAGTAAAAAATGTTTTTTTGCTCAGTTATTGTATCAATAAAGCTTTCGTTGCTTTTTTTGGTCGCCCTCTTTTTCTTTTTTCTCCCAATGGTATATCCTTTGCTGCTGGTGGTGGTTTACAGAATTTTATTCTAATTGACATGCCAACTATATGTTTGCAAATATATTCTTTGAAGAAACTTGGACAATTACAAGTTCCATTTGTCCATTCTAGTGCATTGTTTGGTAAACTTGTCTTCCATACTGAAAATTGAATATCTTTAAATTGATCAAGTGATGTCCATTTCTTCCTATTATATCTACGAATTTCATTTGTTGTAACATTCTCTGCATTCCCAGATGGTATGCAATAATCAGTAAAACCTTTTTGTTTTGATAATTATTGCAAAACTGACTTTGACGATTTTGCAAAATGATATGCATCGGTCCATTTCTTAAGTGTAATCGGTTATTCTGTTGAAAACACAACTGGATCTGATTGATTTGGATTACGAGATTTAGACCAGTGACGTACAATTTCATTTGCAATAGTAAAAAGTCTGGAAAGTGGTTGTCGTTCTCTAAATGTGTGTTCATCCTTGATGACTTTATTTGTAGACTCAAGTGCATAGTTAGTACTCGGTGTGAAGATGTTGTATCCTTCATGCTATGAATTGAGGTTTTGTAACCATTCGGTTTCAAAGTATGTTGAAAATTCTTTTTCTTTACTAATCCACTTCTTCAAAAATAACGATGATGCATTTGTGAAAACCGTTTCTGATTCACATACTTGTAATTGATCGATATCATCTAATATTTCTTGCGGGTGTGGGTGTGGAAAAATATAGACGTCATCATAGAAGTAAAGAAACTTTGATTTAACATTTTAGAATTACTTTGTCCTTATAATAAATTACTTAGTAATTAAATTTTTTACTGAACAAATGTAGTTTTTTACTATGATTTTAATTTATTAACTTAGCGAAGAAATAATTTACTGAAATATTAATATTTTAACTTAGAAATTGATTTTTTTTTACTAAGAAACTTTATATTTACTTAGCGTCTAGTTATTCTACTTAGATTTAAATTATTTACTGAGCAAATATATATTTTACCTAACAATCAAATTGTACTCGATCTTTTTCTCCCCTATTTCTTATTTCTTTCCTCTCGATATATTTTCTCTCTTCCTTGCTCTCTCTAGTCTCTCCGTCTCCTTGACTTGTCCTTTTTTCTTTTTATCGTTCTCCAATATATTTGGGGATTAGTGACTTGATAGTTGTGTCGAGTTAGAGTTACAAGTATTACAGAGATATAAAAGGCAACGTTATTAGAAGTCATTTTGAATTGAAACTCGAAAACGGAATAGAACTTAGTGCGTAGTTTTGCTGTGTCGGCTATATACATTTATTATTACCAATTATTATTATTATTCAATAAAATATTACGTTTCGTTGCTATTCAAAACAGTTTACACTATTTCTCGTTTCATAACTTATATACATCATATTACAAGCTTATCACATCTCTTTTTCGTTACACAGTTTTATTATTATTTTGTAAAATATTTCAGCTATCAAATATTTACCCCAGTTGTCAGAGGAATAGATGATTGCAGATTCTCATCTAAACTTATTTTATTTAAAATTGATTGTGAAAGAGTGAATGACTTGCAGATTTATGGAATACAATTGGTTTTATGACAATAAAAGCAGAATCATTCTTATCCTTATGATTTTTTGTGCAACGATATTGCTTCTCACGCAGACCTCACCGTTTCAACAGTCAAATAACTTACATTCGATATATACTCCTCGAAACTCTAATCGTTGGATGCCTCAAAACTTCCTTGATGATATTCATATAGCTATCGTATGCACTAATCGTAAATTCAATGAGATGGCTATCAATACTCTTAAGTCGATTATTTTCCATCGTCGAAAATCTTATAATATCACATTTCATATCTTCACAGATCTGGATGGGGAAAAACGAATTAATGATTATTCTAACTTGACTGCCAATCTTTGTACACAATTTCGAATATATCCAGTAAAAGATCTGATAGACATAGGTCAGAAGTTTCTTGAAAAACATCAGATAGTCACTACGCATTATTCGGGCATCTATGCGCTGTCTAAAGCCTTCATTCATGAAGTCTTACCATCAAGTTTACATCGAATTCTTCTTGTTGATACCGATATCCTTTTTCTTGATGATGCATACTCCGTCTGGGAACAATTTCAATTGTTTACGCAGAACAAAACTGCATTGGGTTTAGCACGATGGTATCCATATCTACCCATTGATAATAAATACCAAGGATCAGCTCCTGATCCGTTTTTAACTGGATTGGTCTTACTAGACTTGAATGTTTCTCGTTTAATCAATCTCACGCGATTGATAAGTCAAGCAACAAAAACGGCACAAGCGAATTTTGGACTCAAAAACCTGTGGACTGCTGATCAAGTTCTGCTGAGTCTTTTTGCCACGTATTTTTCAGAATATTTCGTTACTCTACCATGTTTTGTCAACGGACATACCTCGCATTATCTGAAGAACGGTTTGACATGGAAATCCAGCTGTCAAGGAGAATATCCCCGTACTGTTCACGTAGTACCTTCAAGTGAATTATTAGATAAACAAAATTACTTTGGACATTTGTATGAGTTTTTCAAAGAAATGCCAATCGAATGGCTTCCTTCTTGTGATAGAAGAAAATCAATAGTAACGATCCGTAAATAACAATTTTTCGATATTTTATCTTCGTCAGACCCAAAATATTAACCACAATCGCATTCCTGTCAAATATGATAAGGGTGTGGGTGCGAGTGAGCGTAAATAAAAGATGAATCCAAACCCGCACCCTAATGTTATCATATCTAAATTAACTTGAAATTTCTGTAATTTCTTTTTTTTCTTCTATTCTTCATATATCTTCCATATGTATCATGTTCACTGTTGAGTGCCAAATGATTTTGACAAAAATTTAATATTATCAGAAATTGTAAAAATTTAAAATGTTTATAAACAGTGTCAGGATTTATAAACCGAGTCGGAACTGGTAATTAGACAAGTCTAGAAATTCTAAGCTGTCTAAATATCTACTATAAATTCATGACAATAGCACTTTTAAATTTGGTAAAACCATATTCTACCATGAGGCTATTATATTCTCATATCGACACTTAAAATGATAAAGATAATTTAATCATTTTGGTTTATCAATCAATTCAAAATTTGTGAACTGGTCGGATGCTTATCCAATATTCGTTTATAAATAAGTTGCATTTATAAATCTAGTAAATGTTTTTAAATCGAGTAAATTTTTATAAATCGTTCATATATTTATAAACTACAAATACAGTTATAGATGGACCGGATTTATAAATCAATTCTGTATTTATAAATCTTTCAAACGTTTATAAATCAAAAACAGATTTATAAATCGCCTCCTTTCGGGCTCAACAGTGATCATGTTATAAATTACCTTATGTATTAATGTCTACATTAACTTGAATTTTATTCGAAATTTATATAATTTCTTTTTTTCTTCTACTCTTTATATATCTCATATATATGTCATGTCATAAACTATTTTATGTACTGATGTCTACATTAACTCGAAATTTCTATAATTTATTTTCTTCTTTATCTCTGTATATATCTTAAATATATATGTTATAAATCATCTTATGTAGTAATAGTCAAATTAACTCGAAATTTCGTTGAAATCTTTATAATTTGCTTGAATTATTCACACTTGAAATACTATAATTCAGTGCTAATATTTTAATAATTTATTATTTAACAAAAAAGATTTTACAAAAAAGAAAGAAAAAGAAATTTTTTTTAAATAAAGAATAAGTGAAATGTATCTTAATGAACAGATTTTGAAAATATACAAAAAAAAGAGAAACCAAAAATACCACGTTTTTTTCGACGTTCGTTATTATTATTGAGTTTTGTTGTTTTTTGATTAAGTATATTTGTTTCATTTACATCTTGATTATCATCATTAACGAAATGAGTACAATGTTTTTTTGTAAATCTTGATAACCCATTTAATGAACTTGAACATGGAAATTGTGATGTTATTCTTGATTTTGGACGCGATATTAGAAACATTGCTCCACTTGAAGAAAAACTTTTTAAACAATTTGTAAAATAAGGTAACAATGTAAATGAAGATGTTGAGCAACGTGGTAATTCAACTGATACACAATCACAATCAGTTTGTTCTAAATTTAAATCATTATCAAATTTTATTGATTTACGAGAATGAATTTTTATTATCTTACGTTTTTGTTCTTTTGAACAAGAAAAGCCAAATAATGTTTGGTGTTGAACAAATGCTGGTGATTTATTTTTATGTATATATGATGTTGGAATATCAGGATGTTGACGAATAATATTTTGTAGAATTAATTGTGCATTTATTGGATGGTTATTAATTTTTGATGCACATTCATTTGAACAAAATAATGCACCATCATCTTGTAAAAAATCATTATTGTTATTATTTAATGGAATAAGACAGGTATAACAACAAAAACATGTTTGTGTTGCATGCCATTGATGAGATTGCCGAGTTATTTTAGTTTGATTGATTTCAATATGTTCACAACATGTATCGCAATAATTTAGATACATTGTTTCAAAACAATTTGAACAAAATGCTTGACTTTCACGCGTAATATAACGGTCATCGTCTAAACGTTCATTACAATTGGCACAAGAAAAATTATACTTATTCCAATCATGATCTTCTATTTTAATACATTGAAAACGGAACATAATCTAAAAAGATAAATGAAAATTATTTTTTCTCTTATCCAATCATTTACGAAGAGATCATCGTAAACAAGAATGATAGAACGTAATTATTCGTTCGAGTTATTTATAAAGTTATGTGATTATTATCAAAGAATATCTATCCTAAGATCTCAATATTTTGATGTTTATTACTATCTATTCACACATTAAAGTCATGTTCTTATGATAGGATGAAACGAAAGATGTTCTTTCTTATTACAAATTCAGTTTGAATATTATTAGATTAAGTATGAAAATTTTTCTACAACAAAATACATACTTGATCACAATTTGTATATCGTGGTTTATATAAATCAGCATGATGTCGTTCACAATAAATTTGATCATCGTTATAAAAATACATTAAATCAACAAGAAATTGTTTACATTGTGTACATCTAAAACATTGTGGATGCCAAAGATTAGTGTAATCATCGGATCGTTTTATATATATACATGGCGAACCTAAATCAATTAATTGTTGACACTAAAATAAAAGAAAGAAAGTTTATTATTCACACCCAATTATCTGTCTTTTATTTGGCATTCAGTGTTTTAGTAAATGCTAAACATACTTGTTGCTTACTATACTCAATAAACTTGTGATATGATCTGTACATTCAACACATTTAACTACTTAGTCTACCGTTTGATGAGATGATTATTATTCTCTATGATGTCTATATCTAGTGTTATCATAGGAACTTTAAACAAAACAAATTGTGACAAGAATGATAGGTCATTATCACTATGAATAGAATCTAAATTTTAGTTTTCAACAATTGCCCTATTCACATTCCTTGGAAATATTAAAAGTTATTCAAATTCATTATCAAGTTTTTAAATCTTATCTGCATCTATAAACTTGTCTTTCTTTTATATTCTTTGTATCTGTTAATCGTTATTTATAAAAATATAAAAGAAAATTAATATAATCTTAAACTTACTCCACGACATGGTGTAGGTGATTGAGAATGAGATACTTTTGTAATAGATCCATAACCAAATGCATTATTTTGTTGTTTGATGAATCTTTTCACTTCATTCATTTCATGTTTACGAAAAAATGCTAGTTGTTTATACATTTTCTATTCAAAAAAAAATATTCGAATAGATCATATGAATAATTTGAAACTTACTGTTTGCTAGTCCTTTTTGTTTATGTTTTATTTAGGAGAATACTGTAATAAGAAATGTTGTGCTATCTCTGAACTGATTGTTGTTCATCTATTTCCTCGTATTTATATATATATCTGTTACGACAAATAAATGATACATTGCCGATAGAAGAATGGACTAGCCTATGAATGAATGGAGATCCTAGTCGATGCCTATAGTCTATATAGGCGTTCGTTATGTCGCATTTATAATGCTTCATAGATGTGTTAGCATGTATAGTCATGCATAGAAGAATCGTCCGTCTATAGTAAACATACATAGGGTGTGGGTGTATCAATATAAAGATAACCTGATATCCACCCCACACCCTCAAGAATTTTAATATTTCTTATTTTCAAATAGATTGTTTTACAAAACATATTCTTTTTCGTACTTAGACAAAGTGGATATGAATTACTATACACTCATTATACTGTGTAATAACTGAACAGTCTATTCGTATGTAATTCTATACTTGATGATCTATGAAATTAACATATTCGAATCGTATAATAAGTAGAAGTATACCATTAGTTATACTGAATGCTTTTGAGTAAATCTCTAAACGACATAGTCTTAAACAAATCGACGCCATTTCTACCAGCAGTTATTATTAAATAGGTATTAGGAAACTACTTGTCATTATTAAGTCTATTGATATTATATTAACTAATATCTATTCAAATATTTAAAATATGCATAAAAAAATCGATTAGTGAAATTCTTTAAAGGGTTAAAATATGAAACATTAAATGCTTGCTACTATTAATCGAAGAATAACACTTCATAGATCACTTCAGATCGATACCATATGCACTTTGTTTGTTTAAGAAAAAATGTATTGATACTTTTTGAAAGCATTATCTACAGTTGAACGGAAGAAATATTGCTAAAATATATGTCACAATTTATCCTAAGGATAAACAGCCATTTGAGATACTACCATAAAAAAAATTTTTGCCAGTTTTTACCATTAAAATAAAGTCGTTTATATTAGACTTCCCAATACTTCTGAATAGATTAGTAGATATTCGTTTTGGACTTTTCGAAAACAGAATGCTATTTATTATTTTGTTTTTCTTTTCGAAATTAATGGAACCAACTGATACCATACCCTTGTAGAAATGATGAGAAAACATAGTTATAAACTTTCGTAAACTTTGTAATTTTGATTATATGTTTAACAGTATGTTATAAACTATCAATCATTTCTATTAATGTATATCAATATAATTTTTAAAATAAGTCATTGATTGATCATTCAGTTATCTATTGTGACTGGTTAATTGTGGTCAATAAACCACATAGTTGATTTGTTTAACGAACTTTCTTTATAAAATTAACAAAAATATGTTTTGATCATCTTTGTAGAAAAGAATCTGATAGTAATTCAGATCTGAGTCTTTTGTTCATTTCTACTGCATATCTCAGATTTTTACACTACAAGAGGCATGTGATGCATCTTTATCGAGCTAAAGAAAGATTTTTAACACTCGTATCAGTTTGATAAATATGTCAAGTTTAATTTAGATCAGTTTATCTGACAAATTTATATAAAAACAAACACGAAATAGAAGACCATTATTTATCATACAAGATTATACAATATATAAAAGCACGCACACACTGTTAAACAGACACTAATAGCAATAAAACTACCAACTGACAAAGCAAAGAACATGATAAAAAAAAAAGAAAAAGAAGTTGCATTATTTATGATCAGCACATTAATGAGATTGTAAGAGACAAAAATTGGATTTATCTGAACGATAAGAGCATAGTTTTGATTGAAATCAAATATCTGACATATTTTATATATATCGATCACGTTGACGAAGATAGCAAAGTAGACCAAGAGCAGCAACAATACAAAAACCCTAAAAAAAACGAAATATCAATTCTCCGTAGAAAAATCCCTAAGGAATTATTCAACATTTATCGAGTCTTGGGAATTCGATTAAATACGTATAGAAAAAGTTAAATGCAGAAGATATTCTCTTTTCTCATTTTTTTAACTTACTTCAACAAAAACAAGTACAAAAGCCAGAATACCAACAATCATTAAATTTCGGTTAATTTCCATTTGTATCATATTAAAACATCCCTAAATAGAAAAAACTATTTATTTATTCCGAATACATCTATTTTCTCTCATACATCCATATAAATTAAACCATAAGTTTCATTTGCAGCAATCTGTTTACCACAACCATTCGTTTCTTCAATACAACATGAATCAGGTACATATGGTTGTCCAGTCCATATATTAGCATTGAACCAATCTTGATATTGATCAACACCACAACAATGAAGCTAAAAGAAAAACATGTTTAAATTAATTTAAATAAAAAACTTTAAATTACGCGTTTTTGAATTGAATTCATTGTTTTTCGTGAATTATTTTCATCTTTACCTTCATCACCTGGATAATGACGTATATTTTCAAGTAATTCTTTTCGTGCAGACATTGCTACCTTAAATAAAGAATAATTTCCATGAATTTTTTGATAGAAAGAAAAACAATTAGATTTCTTACTCGTTCATTAAAAGCAATAACAAATACAACACCAAATAATAATGCCACGAAAATGATAATCATTGTTATAATATACTGAAAAAAACGATATTTAGAAAAATAAATCAATACGAAAATGATTGTTAGTTACCATAAATAAAAGAATTTTCTTTTCGAACCATGCACCGATACATCCAACAGCACCAAGTAACATTGAAAGTTTTGCTGTAACAAAAAAAAAAGTTCATTAATAAAAACTAAGAAAAATCTTCATTCTTTAAACCTGAGAAAATTAGTACAACAGGCGCAGTAAGCCATTGATTCCCCATCAGAGGTCGATAATCAGCCGATTTTATATGTAACCACCAACTACAAACCACAATAGCAAAACCCAATGCCTAGAAAAAAAATTTTTTTCCTTAAAATACACTTGTCTATTTACAATGATTTTAAACTTACAAAAAAACACATATTAATTATTGTAAATACACAACGAAATACCATGTAAGTTGACGACATTTTTGGCTTACTTAATTAATGAATGTTCAATATGAACGATCGATCAATCAATAATCAAAAGTGTAGAACAACGAACGAATCAACAGTTTAGTAAGATGATAGAGGTCATTTTTTTATTATAATATAAATACTAGCATATGATTGGTTATTTATTTCAACTAACATCAACAGACAGAAACTGAAGAAAAAAAAAGAATATTGAAAAAATAACTTTTTTTTGCTATATTATCATGTCGGAAACAATTATTGATGAAGTTCCATCATCGAATGGTTTAATAACAACAGAAACAATTTCTTTAGTCAAAGAATCCGGTGTCAATAATGAGGATGAAGAAACATGGTTATATGGAAAACAAAAAAATGAAGAAATTGTGTAAGTTTAGAAGATTCCCTCTAAGAACGTCGAAAAGAAAGATGTCGAAAGATAAAAAACTCGAAAGTATAAAACGATGATGATGAATGAGAGTGGAAAAGATTTCTCTTGTCGTAAACTTCCATTCTCGACATTTTTATCTGTCAATGTTTGTATACTTTTCATTTTCGATATTTATAATTTCGTTTCTTCTTTACTTTTAAGGGATAATACAATGGCACCATCAATCGATGAAGTAACAACACAAGAAATGGATATGAGAGTATGTACAAAAACAAAAAATTCTATTCAATGAGTTATTCATAAAGAGTAGAAGATATTTTGTTCATTTATATTTTTTGTATAAGAAACATTATTGCTATTTTATTAGGAAAAAGTAACAGTACCATCAATAGCAAATCCAACTACATCATTATTACTTGGAAGTCAGTTAGATGATGATGACGATGACGATGATGATGGAATTCAAGTAACTATTGGTAATATTAAATCAAATGCATCAATTTTTCCACCAACACGACAAAATAGTCGAACAACTATCCCGAGTAAAAAATATATTTTTAATTTTTTCTAATTAATTAATGAATAAATTTTTTTTATTTTAATTCAAGCGGGACCAGTCATTCCACCAAAACCACAAGCAACACGTGGTCTAGATCTAGACGCTCAGGGTATTATTAATGGACAACCAACATATGAACATGATTTAATGAATGCTTTTAAAGATGAAGAAAAACCATGGAAAAAACCAGGTTTTTATAAAATTATTTTATATTTATTTTTTTGATTTCCAATTTGATGTTCTATATAGGTGCGGATATAAGTGACTATTTTAATTATGGTTTTACCGAAGAAACATGGGCACAATATTGTGATCGACAACGACGTTTACGCGCAGAAAATAATTTAGCTCGTCTTAATGCTGCTCATGTAAGATTTCAAATTTTGATTGAACTTTTTCTCTCATAACTTATATAATCGTATTAAGATGCCACAAATGCCACCAATGCTACAAGGTCATCCTCCAATGATGCACCCAATAAATCCTCATCCAGCTATGATGATGAATAAACCACAACTTAATATGCCAATTATGCAAAGACCATTTATGAATGTGCGAAAACCAGATGGAAAAATAGATGTTATCGGTATGTTTCATATTCGTTTTTTTTTGAATATAGTCGAAATTAACATTACAATATTTGTATTTTAAGGTGCAACTGATCAAACATCTCGTCGGCAAATGTTTGAAGCACCAAATGCTTTTGAACATCCACCATTTTTAAATGGACCTCCGTTGTATGTTATCTTTGAGTTTTTATTAATAATCCTACTTGATAATAGCTCTTCTTCAATGATAGATGATTTATTGCTTCGAATCAAATAGCAGAATATAAGAGAGAAATAGACAAACAATTGTTAGAAAATTTTTCGATGTAAATCAGCTTCTTCTAGTCCGCGATATAAGGAAAAACTACGTTGTTGATGATTTTTTTAGTTTGACTAAGGATTAATGATAATTAAACGATCTCAGATAAATTGAATGTGTTCTTCATAAGATAACATTATCTACTGTGATTGATTTAAAAAATAATATTTTTTCTCTCGCTATCATTGACAAACTATCTAGAAGTAAAACTAGTATGGATTTTTGAAGACTACCACCAGTATTAGTTTTATTTTATTCAAAGAGTAAAAAAAATTAAATTCAATAGTTTTAACTCTTCAAACTATCTACATTGAAAACATTTATACGATATTCTTTTCTAGTTCTGGTGGTCAACCACCCAATGGACAAACAGTTGGTGATCTTGTTACTCCACCACCAACATCGAATGGACCTCCACCACAACATGGAACACCACCAGGTGGTAGTCATCCTATACCAACACTTGGTGCACATCGAATGCCAATGATGCCTCCACCAGGTATGCAATTTCGACCACAATTTGGTCATCCTCATGCACCTGGTGCACCTCCATTTTTTCCACATGGACCTCCTGGAGGTATGCATGGCGAAAGGTAACGTATATATCTTTTGCAATCTATATGAAATTATATTGAAAATGTACTTTAGACCACCACAACCATATTTTATACCTCACCATCCACAACAACAACCCTGGGAGAAGTAAGATTTTCTTATTTTCGTTTTTTTGTATTCAACAATTTCTATTAAATAGACCTAATGTACCTCCAGTACATGCTTTTCCACCAGGACATTTTCCTCCTCAAGCACCAATACCAGGTAATAATAATGCTGGTAATGGAAGACCAACTTCTAGTCGAAGTCCAACACCTGAAGATCATTCATCACGTAGTTCAACACCAGAAGAGAATCGTCCAAGTGGAAATGGTGGTGATGCTGACAAATCATCAAAAGATGATCGTTATAAAGAAAGATACAGGTATTTAATTAAACAATATTTTATCAATAAAAAATTACTTTTGTTTTTCTAGAGATGAACGTGAACATTATCCATCATCACGCCGTCGTTCCTCTCCTAAAGATCGCTCGTCATCATCTTATCGTTCACGTCATCGTAGTGGCGATCATGAATATGAACGACCAAGAGGTGATCGAAAATCATCACGTGATCGAGATGATAAATATGAACGTTATTCACGAAAGTAAACTTTTTAATATTTTATTAATTATTAAAATTCTATTTTGTTTTTTTGTTCTTTATTATTTTAGACGACATCATCGAGAAGAGAGTGGACGTCATCATCGTGGTGAAGAAGATTCATCTCGTGGTCATCGTTCATCACGTCGTTCACCAATAAAAAATTTCTCTTCACCACCAAAAACACTTGTTACAAATTCTTCAACAGATTCTCCTCAAATACAGAATGAAAATGTGGAAACAACTGAAAATGATCAATCATCAAATACAATAACATCAACAACAAATCCAATTGTATCAACATCATCATCGTCACCAAATAGTCGATCACGTCGTGATGAATCAGAACGTTCATCATCACGTCATGGTCATCATAAAAAATCTTCAAAACGTTCACGACGTGATAGTGGTGATGAACGTAGTCATCATCGACATTCAAAAGATAAATCAAGTAGTAGTAAAAAACAAATAAATCAAACAGAAACTTCATCTGATGTTAAAGAACAAATAAATGAATAAAAGAATATGTATGAAAATTTTTTTCTTTTTTTTTTGTTTGTCATGTAAATTTTCTTTTTCTATTGTTGTCTATCGGTTCTCTGAATATCTTAGAGAATATAAGATTAAATACATAAACGTATTAAAATAGATATAATTCTTCTAGATTAATATTATTATTATGGCTAGTCCACGTAGTCGATCAATTCTTAAAGATATAAAATTAAAAGAGGATAATAATACTTGTTTTGAATGTGGAGCATTGAATCCTCAATGGGCATCAGTTTCATACGGTAAGAAATAATAAATTCGAAAGCATGAAAAATAAAAATAATGAGATATAAACTAGAAAGAGAAATTATCGAAATCAAATTCATTTTAACAAAATTTTCTTTTTGAATATTGTTAAGAATGTTATAGAACACCGTCTGATTCTGTAAGTTCACATATGCGACATCTATCAACTAACTTGACACTTCAATATATTTTAGGATTAGGCGCGGTGGGGAAGAGAGAATGTTTAACTAAAACTCAAACTTGAGGGGGGGATTACTTCCCTCACCGGTTTGCGATAGTTCTGTCTTTCAATGCTATGATTGTTCAATTATAACTAGGCATTTATCTACATTTCTAATTCAGACACACATCGAAAATTGATTTTAAAACATCATAATAAACTTTCTTTTGTTAGGTATTTGTATTTGTCTTGAATGTTCTGGTAAACATCGTGGATTAGGTGTTCATTTATCATTTGTTCGATCAATTACAATGGATAAATGGAAAGAACTTGAACTAGAAAAAATGAAAGTTGGTGGAAATCGTCGAGCAAAAGAATTTCTTGCAAGTCAACCTGACTATGATGCAAATACGATGAATTTTCAACAACGTTATAATTCACGTGCTGCTGCACTTTATCGAGATAAAATAAGTACAGAAGCACGAGGTGAAACTTGGAATATTGATGCATCACCAGCACAAAATCATACATCTATTTATACATCATTATCTTCTGAAAAACCAACAAAAGTAAAAAAAACATTTTTATTGAAAAATTCAAATATTTTATTTTTTATTTAGCAAACTTCGTCAGATTGGACAGATTTTAAATCATCAGATGATCAAAATGAAGATTATGGTGGTTATCAAAATAAGAATTCAAATGAACAACATCCTTCAGGTCTTGGTAGTGGTAATCCAAAATATTGGGGTTTTGGAAATACAAATAATGATACATCAACTCAACAACAATCATCAAATCCAGAATTATTAGCTTCATCAATTTCAAATATAAGTGCTAATGCTGTTAAATGGGCTGATGTTGCTAAAACTTCTGTTTTTAAATTTTCGAAAACTGCAGCTGATAAAGCCACTGAATTAACATCAAAAGTAAGTGAACAAGCAAAAGATGGAACATTAATGACTAATGTACAATCCGGTGTAACAAATATGGCATCAACAATGGGAAAATTAGGTACAAAAACATGGTTTGACGTGCAATCATTATGGTCAGGAAAAGATAATCCTGCAAAACCTCGTGATAAACAAGATTATTCGAATATGGTAAATATTAATATCGGATTTTTCTATTTAATTCTATTTAATTTTTAGAATGATGCATCTTCTGCATATCAGCAATCATCAGGAGAAATTGAAAATCATAATTCTGGCTATCAGAATATGTCAACTAATGTATCAAATCTTTCTCAACAACAATCAAAATCAAATAGTAAACTTGCAACCGGTGATAGAAATGAATCTATACAAGGTGAATCTAAAAAAGAAAAACCAACATCATCGAATCTTATCAATTTTGATGATGATAAATGGGTTGTTGATGATGATGCTGGATGGGAATCAATCGATACAAAATAAGAAATTTGCTTTTTTTTGTTTTTTTTAAGAAACAGTTCATTTTTTTTTATTATTATTTTCATTTAACTGAGCATTATTTATATTTATCTCATACAAGTCTTTTTTCTTTCGCAAACAAGTTTGTCACAATTCCATATTATATATTCAAGTTGTTATTTTATGATATATAAAAATCCATTTTTTTTGCGTCATATCTTCGAAGTAAAAATGGTTATTTTTATCAGTACTTTCAAACAATAAATATGCGATAGTTATTAAACTAATCGGCAAAATAGTAACAATTATATTTCAGTTAATGTATTCTCGCACTTTGTAACACCCTAGTCGATCGGTATAATAAAACAAAATCAATAAAAATTTCTCGTATCATATTCGATACTGTTACCAGCAGCTGTACTAATTCACAGATAAGAAAAAGCGAAGGTTCTTACGAACATCCTTCAAAAAACTGGAAGTATGTATGCATTTTTTTCAAATTGATAACGTATGATAAAAAAACTAGAAAAGGGTGTGTCACGATTTAAATAAAACCAGAAATAACACATTCAATATACATTCCATCACATAGATACGTATGATATATTCTACTCAATAATATATGCGTCGTTTTTAAAAAAGAAAAAAAAAGAACATACGATTATATGAATCAACTACTAACATATATACACATATCTACTAATATGCGAAAAAATGTGAACTAAATAAATATTTATAGATGTAGTTCTATAGGATCAGTAGTCGAGTCGGACTAACAGGACGAAAGAATATATATACTAAGGTGGACGATGTTTATCTCAGATTTTTCTCTCACCGAATCTTCGCTTCACGCCTAAGAATATATATATATATATGTATACGATATTCCATTCTTCGTATATTCAAGGTCATTTTTTTTTCAAATGACGTTGTTTATTAATTTTATATTTCTCATGACTGTGTGTTATCGATTATTCGCGAGTGACAGCTTATCGTGTTCTTTATTGTATTATGATTGCACTAGATTTTATTATATCGAATATTAAAAAAAAGTCGAATATTATTTCTTTTTTTATTTAGAGCAAGAAATTTTTCTTTGAAGAATCAAGAAAAACAAATGGCCTGTCCGTATGCACGATTTATTGAAAATGATAATGAAAATGAAATATCAACAGCAACAGCTAAATTAACAATCAATGGTGCAGTAAATAATGATGCTCTTGCTGAAATACTTTCATTAACTGGTTATGGTCAAACAAGTTCAGTTAAACCTGAATTAAAACGTTTACCATCAAGTGATGAATTAGTTAACTATAGTAATTATTTACAATTAAATAAACTTCTCGATTCTCAATTATTAATAAGTGCTAAACATGATCAAAATAAAAAAGCTGTTCATGATGAACATTTATTTATAATTATACATCAAAGTAAAAAGAAAAAATCGATTTCTTGGTATCTTTTTATTCTTATTAATTAGGTTTTGAACTTTGGTTTAAACAAATTATATGGGAACTTGATTCACTTCGAGAAATATTTGCTAATAAACTTATTGATGAAACACATATGTTTGTATCAATAAATCGTCTTCAACGATGTGTACAAATTTGGCATCTATTATGTGATCAAATAAGTATATTAGAAACCATGACACCACTTGATTTCATGGAATTTCGATCTTATTTATCACCGGCTAGTGGTTTTCAAAGTTTACAATTTCGTTTAATTGAAAATAAATTAGGTTTAACAGATAAATCACGTGTTGTTTATAATCAAACATCATATAAAAATGTTTTTCCAAGTGCAAATGAACAAAAAGACTTAACAGGTTCATTAGAAGAACCAACATTATTCATGCTTATTGAAGTATATATATCTATATGTTTGAAATATAATACAAAATTTTTCTTTTTTCTTAGCGATGGCTTGAACGAACACCTGGTCTTGAAGATACAAGTTTTAATTTTGTTGAAAGATATAAACAAGCTGTTGCTCAATATATTAAATTTCTTCAAACAAATGCTGAAGTATAGAATAGAATTTATTATTTATACTAACGAAATTTTGTTTCTTCAAGAGTGAACCAAATCCAACAGCACATCATGCAGCACTGGAAGATGTAAAAAAAACGGCTGATACATTTCGATCATTAATCGATGAAAAATTTCATCAACAATTAGTAGCAAGAGGTGATCGACGTCTCAATCATCGAGCTATATTTGGTGCTTTAATGATCATGCTCTATCGAGAACAACCACGTTTTCAAGTTTGTTTGTTTTTTTCCAAATAAAAAATTAAGTTCGATTTATTTTCTTAGGGTCCTTATCAAATTTTATCATTATTAATGGATATCGATGCACTTATTACTAAATGGCGATGTAAGACATATACTTATTTCATTAGATAAGAAAAAATATATTTTCATAGATAATCATTTGATATTGGTTCAACGACAAATCGGTAACAAACAAGGTACAGGTGGTTCCGCTGGTTATAGTTATTTACGATCAACTTGCAGGTATGATTAAACATATGAATTTAAAAATATTTTCAAAAAAAAAACTTCGAATTCTTTTAGTGATCGTTATAAAGTATTTATTGATTTATTTAATCTTGCATCATTTCTTATTCCACGTGAATTTATACCAAAATTAACTAGTGAAATGAAATTACGTTTATCTATAGCTAGTGTTAATGAAACATTAACGAAAGATGAATGTGAAGAATTTGAAAAGAATTCAAAAGAAAATGATTCTATATCTACTGATGAAGTTCATTCAATAAAAAATTAATTAATTTCAATGATAAATTGAAATTACAAACGAACAGAGAATTTATGATCTGAGTTTTTTTTGTCTTTTCTTTTCTTTTTCCGTTGTTTACTTTTCTGAGATGTTTATTAAGCATCTCTGATTTTTATTTGTATAATTTCTTTTTATTCTTACTCTTTATGAAGAAAAATATAAAGAATATGTGACCAATTGTGTCATTTTTTCCATCATTTATCTTTAGTAAATCTATATGATGTTTATGGTTCTTGCAATAGGACTAAGTCATAGATATGACATGATAAAAGTAGAAAATAATATTTGTGACACAAATTTATTTGAATTTTCTTTCAAAAAAAATCATATACAAAATAAGCTCGATTTATGTTGTGACTGCAGAGGTAATTTGAGGTAATTTTGGTACACTAGTTGTACTCGTACTATTTCGAGATTCGGATAAATCTTTATTTTCTGGTGTTTGTGTTACAAAAACATTATTTGTATTATCACGATCGGAAGCTATTGAAGGAGTATTCATATCAATTTGAGTTCTAGATAATTAAAGAAAGAGAAGAAATAATTGAATTTAATATCTAATTTAATATTACTTGTTCATTGAAAGATCTGTCATTCTTGCTTTTTTTGAATTCATTCGTAAAAATAATGCTCGAAGTACTTGTTCTTTTTGTTCCCATGTTAACTCACCAATATCAACTTCGGAACCAAGATTTGTCCTATTAATATTATAATTTTTAGTCTATATTAACACATTCAACACGGTTTAATTTTCTTATAGAATTTCTTCAAAATATGCACATCTATGTAGAGTTAACTTTTAATAAGTGCTCTCAGTTACCTTTTTAATAACTTCTATCACCAAACAAGTAGTTATTTCTGATGACCATGTGAAGGTTCTCTCACGTTACTTTCTCATTTCTTTATATATTATAGATAATATATGCAAGATAAGAGAACGAAATTTTTAGCCTTTTCTTTTTTCTAAACTTTTAGAATAGCTCACATCTCATTTAATCAGATGAACTTTTTAAATGATGCTTTTCATAGAATGGACATCGAATTCCGACAGAGAAGTTACTGATGATGATGGAGTACAAAGCAAGTCATATGATCTTGCTATTATTTCATGGAAGTCTTGTACGATCTTTACTTCTTAATATACTATTGGAGAATATAAAATCTAGTCCGAGCTAATAATGAACAAGTCGTTCGAAGAGAAACTTAAAACTTTCTGTCTTGATCATTTTAATGAGAAGCATCGCACTATGTAATAAATGACTAAATAATAACAGTGACAGAATAGATGACACATTGTGTGTGATTTCTGACTCAAGAAAAACAATATTTTTCTTGTTGAAGCAAAGTAGGTCTCATAATTTCGAATTGTTAAGTGTGAACATTCGATTGCTCAGATTAAAAACTTCGAAATAGAGTTTAATGTTTTCAAAGTGTACCGAGGTAAAGGGCAACTACAAGTTATATATACTATCGAATTCTGTCGCACACTGTAAAAATTGATTTTTGACTTGGGATCAGCTAAATTTCTTGCCTATAATTCATTTTTTACGTTACATTGTTCTTTGAGATGAAGATTTTGTTCTCTGATATTTTCTCTGCAAACTGATGGCTGTGGATGTCCAATTAATGTTTTATTCAGGATCACGGACACAAAAGAAAGTCGGAGTCAGTCGGAGCTAAATCTAACGCCGACTTTCTTTCATGTCCGTGAACCTCAATAAAACATTGATTGGGCCCTCAAAATACATCAGTTAGTAGAGAAAAGTTTTCTCTACAAATCTACAAATGTCTTATTCTAGGGTTGAAATCTTGTAGTCGCCTTTCTCCTTAATTAAAAAATCCACAGTAAATAAAGTGATGAATAACTTTACCATTTCGTTGCTTCTTCTAAATCATGAAAAACACTGTTTGTACTATATCCAGGAAATGTTTCATTAAATGTTCTTATTTTTGGATAATCTCCTTGTCCATGATGAGCATTTAACATTCGATTTTGATATGCATTAAATGCATCTTTACGATATTGTAAACGATTAAAATTAATTTGTTTTTTAACATGTTGTAAAGCATCTAAAAAGAATGTTTCTAATTCTGAACGTTGTTCAATAATTATTTTTGCTAATTTTTTAATTTTAATCATTTCTTTTGTTTTTAATTCTAATGTACGTTGTAATTTTAAAATTTCATTACGTGATGATTCATGTAAATGAGATGACTGTTCAACGAGATTTGTTCTTTCAACATTAAATTCTTGTATAAATTGTGTTAAAGAATTTTCTAATAATTGAATTTTTTCTTTTAACTAATATTAAAAAGCAAAAGAAAAATATATGTTTTATTGTCAGGGTAATCGCGAACCGAGTTAGGGGAGTGATCTTTTCTCCTGCCCTAAAATGTTCGCGACAACGCTGTTTATTGTATTTCTTACTTCTTTAATAGTATTATTTTGTTTTTGTATTTGTTCAACTTTTTCTTTTATTAATATATCATTTAATTCTTTGTCACCGCTAGTTGATGAGATAAGTTTTTTTAATTGATCTTTCTCTTTTTGTAATATATCAAATTCATGTTTATGTTTACGTATAGAGTCAATAAGTTCAGTATTTTCTCGATAAACATTACGACTTGTTTCGCCTAAACCTCTGAAAAAAATGAAAATTACATTTTGTTAATGAAAATTTTGTTTAGTTCACTTTAATGCTTCTTCTTGTGCACGTGCAGCTATCTCCTCGATCTTTTCCTTTGATTCCTGTTGTAAACGTATTCTTTCAATAAAAAACTTTTGTTCCAGTTTTTGTAATGTTTCTTTATGTTCTCTTTCGTTGTATAATGTTGCATCTCTAATCTATAATACAGATAATATAAAATATAAGAATACAATGAAATGAAATTACATCTTCAAGTTCTTTTTGCATTTGTATTTTTTTCTTTCGAAGATCCTGCGACTCGTTAAGTTCTTGACGAACTTCTTCAAGTTCAGTTTCTTTTCGAGCAATTTTTTCATCTAATTTACGTCTTTGTTTAGTAAAATGAGAGACCTTAAATAAATAACTTATTAGATGTATTTAATTTATTTCAAGTCTACATACTAATTCATCTTTATTTTGTCGATGTTCCATTTTTAATTGTTGAATACCTTGTTGTAAACGATCGATCTTTTAAAAAATTAAATATTCATTTTTTTTATTCTAGATAAGATTCGAATTTTTTACCTCAGTATCTTTATTAGCATCTTGTTTTTTTAAAAATGTTACTACATCAATTGTCTCATGTTCAGTTTCACGCATATGATCACGTAATGATTCATTTTCATATGCCAAATTACTAGCTATATCTCTAATATTACAAAATTATATTAGAGAATAAAATTAAGAAAATTTTATTTTTCAAACCGATAATGTTTTCGAGATAGCTCCATAATATTAAGTTGAGCTTCCCATAAATTTGAATTATGAAGATCATTTTTAAGAGCTAATTGTTCTTTGGCTTTAGCTTTTTCACTGTAACGAAAAGAAAATACATGAATAAATAATCTTTTTGATAACAAATTAAGGAAAAACTCACGCTTTCTTTCCTTTTTTTCCTTTTCCTTTGCCTTTTCCCTTTCCTTTTTTCGGCATTTTTTTAATCTAGAAAAATAAAATAATCAAAAACAAAAATTTTCAAAATTTCAATCGCCATTTACAAATGCTTTATTTACAGAAGAATCAGCAACAACCTCTTTTCCATTAGAGCAGGTATAGTAACAAACAGATGTCAGTCAATGATGATGAAAACACACATGCAAATATTTATTACCTTGAACGATTCTCAATTAATTTTTCTTTTTCTTTTTTTTCGATCAAGTTAAACATTTACTACATAAATAAATGACAAATTATTACGTCGTTTTTCTTTTCAAAGTAGTACATAATAAGTAAATTTAAAATTTTTTCTAGTTAATTTTACTATTAAAATTGTGGTCGTCGAGACGACTTGCCAAATACACAAGTTTTGCTTGCATGCCAGTTTGGAATTGTTAAATATAATCCGCTTTACTTTTTTTTCCCTTTTTTTTTGTCTTGCTGTATGTGATTCAATAATAATAACAACACTAGTAAACTATTGGTGGTGCAAGTAACAACAACATAAACGTTTTCTTTTTCTCTATTTCGCTCGTCTTCTTCTTTTAATAGGACAGTTAAGCGACGAAAAACTCTCGTGGTCGTTTTACTCCTTCTTTTCTTCGAGTGTTTATTTTTTTTACGCGTATCTATCAAATGAAGCACAAAACTTCGAAAAGATCAAATTCTAATAAATATCCTCAAAATAATACTTCCTCACAAGTTCAAACAAGACGTTTATCAGATTCATCAACAGGAGCAAATGATCTTAGAGCAAAATCATTGACTAATAAACCACCTGATGGAAGTACAGGAACTGATTGTTTTGATTCAAATACATTATGTTTTAAATCAAATTTAGAATTAAAAAGTCAAAAAGTGCTCAAACGTGATTTACTTCGTTGTAGTGATCAACCACCATCACTTCTCGGTTCACATACATTACATACACCAGGTATTCATCATGGATCACAACAAATGCATGCATTAACTTTAGTATCAAATTCATCATCTATAAATCATGGACAATCAATGCGTCGTCGTTCTTTTTCAGCCGATCCACATTTATCTCATATCACACATGATCGTTTAGGACCATGGCCAGATATCGGTATAAATCGTGTCGCATCAGCTGGAAATGAATTAAATCCAATGAAAAATTGTCGTACTATGAAAAATTCTCGTGCTTTTTCACCAAAATATTTTACAGCTGTAAATGATAATACAAGTAAATTTAAATATCATTCATCATCAGAAACTTATATTGATGAGTACCGAAAACAAAAAGGTTATTTTCTTGATTTAAATACAATAAAATTTTTATCTCGATCATTTCTACTACAACAACAACAGCAACAGCCAAATGAGGAAAAACTTCCGAGTACCGATACGCTCAATAATGGTATTAAAACGAATAATGATATATCTGCAGATCGAATAATTGTAGAAGATACTGATCGAAAGATTGCACCGGCTACGGATCGATTGACTGCATCAACGACTGATCTATCAGTAAAATCAAATCTACTATCAAAATCATCAAATAATATGTTTGAACATATGGTTGTACCACCATCAATTCCAACGTTTTCGAAAGTTTATCATGAGTCACATCAAATAAGTAGTTTTCCTGCGTTATCTCTGCGTCATCCACATCTTCGATCAATTCGTCATTCAAATCAAAATAACGCCGCCATTCAACAATCACAACAACAACAGCAAACCGTTTCTTTACCACCACTAAGTTCTTCATCACTTCAATTTATTAGTGGGATAAATTCAGCAGATAGATTCTATTCAAACAATAGAAAACCTTCAATACAAAATCATTCAAAATTATTTCTTTTCGATGGACGTCATAAGAAAAGGTATATCTCTATATCTCTATATCTATACATTTCATTTTGACAGAAAAAATTCAGTTCTTTAAATAAAAATAGGACTTCACAGCGTACAATTACTGATAGTGAGGTAGGCTTATATGAGTTGATTTGAAACTAATCTATATTATTAATGAAAACAAAAATAGATTTTTTATTGAAAATATTCATATTGTTTTTTCCTAATATTTTATAGGTTGCAACCGGTTCGCCGGATTACTCTGAACTTCGTGCAACCGGTTGTCCGGTAGTAACAACAACACAAAGAACGACAGCTCTAGCTGGTTATCAAGTACCGCGTCCACCACCAACATTTGTCACAAGTCAAAGTGATATTAGATAAAAAAGATTAGAATTAAATTGATTAACAATATGATTTTACTTGTGAATAATTTGTTTCTTTGAATTGCATTTTTTCTCAAGAATATTATTTGTAATATGATATATATTATTCAGATGAAGCAAATTATTTGATTATTATTTTTTTATCGAAGAAAATAAAGAATACATAATTTAATAATACTTTAGTCTAGATTACACTATCTAGTATCATTTATCTTCTTATTTACTAATAGAAAAAGTTAACTCGATTTCTATTGGTGATATTTATAGTTACAAGTTTCATCATTATCAAATTTAGATTAAAATTAACACTTTTTAAGTTATGATTATGACTTATGGAGTTAATATATTAATATCAAATTTAGATTTTTATGGTAGATTTAAACAAGCTTACTTAATAAAATCTATTAGCTATATTCCTTCTCGATTAAATGCTTTACGTCTCAGATACTAGAAGGTATTTGCAGCAGTATTACGATCATTGATTTGTATAACACTACTCTATTCCGTTGTAGAATGAGAACGGAAGGATGTCGCAAGATGCCAGTCTAAATATTTGTCTGTTCTCCCATTCCCACTGTTTTCTATTGGTCAATTTGTTTTGACGTGAATGAAAAAAAAAAGGGTAAAGAAAGAACAATAACAACAAACAACAAATAATATTTCTTCGTTCCTTCTTTTCGCCTTATTGATTAGTGTATCACTAACTAACTGTCATCCTTTAAATATTTCCTGTCATTTTCTAGTCTTATTACATAAACAATATTTTGGAAAAGAAATTCTATTTATTATGGATTTACCATCCATTAATCTGATAACTGGAGCACCACTCAATGATGGTTAGGATTCATAAAAAATATATACTTCTTTATTTCTATTTATTAAAATAAATTTTATTTAGTTATACGCGAATTACCGGTATTATCATTGGCTAATCCGGGTATGGAACGTATTGTTGATAGTAGTACTGCTGAATATACATCTATGTTACTCAATTGTCGTGATGGTTCATTAGCACAACAACTTGCACATAAACTTTCAATTGTTGCTAATACAGCTACATCAATGTAAATAAATAATTCGTATATATGTCAGAAATTAACGTCTTGATGCTTCTTTTTTTTTCAGTACACTCCGTCAATCGTCAGATCCAGCACCACCACCTATACATGCATTACCACCACTGTTACAAACAACCACACAGTATAATCCAAATATTTTCAATGGTATGAAATATTCTCTTCAATATTATTATTAGTATTATTTTTGTTTAGGAGTTTGTCATCCTCCATCATCATTTTCACGTCCTTTTCAGTAAGTAGCATAGTAGGAATATTTTTTTTGTATGAATATAATTATTTAATTTAGATCACCAACAAATCCATATCCTCAGTATACAAATCCTCATTTTCCACAACAAATTAGTCCAACAAACAATGGTTATAGTCAAACAACAGCATCAGCATCACGTAAGTTATTTTAACAGGAAAAATGTAAAAAAAAAATAAAAAAATCAATGGTATTTAGCTTATTCTTCACGTGGTTTTATGCCAGCAACAACAGCAACAACACCACCAGTAACAAATCAATCACCTGATTGTCAATCAATGATCTATCCTCAAACTCCAACACTTCCTCCTCATCGTCCAACAAGACCAACAGCTGTTGTACCACCTTTACCTAAAGATCCCATTATAACATCACCAATGGGTTCAACACCAAGTACATCGTCATCAATGACGCCATCGTCAATATCAAATTATCAACAAGTTTCACCACAAAAACCACCTAATTATCAAAAACAGGTAAATTTTTATATATTCAAGAATACTATTTTTAATCGATAACATATCTCAATTTAATATTTATTGCCTCGATAACCTTTTCTCTAAAACATCAAGGATAGAATATATACATACCGTTTTTCTATCCAGACAGATGCCTTGGGTATATGATAAATAAAATCAAACTAACCATTTCCTAGAAAAATACATCGACTAAAATTTTGTCGTCAAAATATATAGATAATTGTTAGATTTGAAATCAGTAAGGGAAGAGAATAGTGTTACACGTGCTACTATATATTCTTTTCCTCGTATTGTTTCAAAATATACACATTGGATAGAAACCGTTGGGAAAGAAAAAGGAAGAAATAATGTTCTTTTTGCCTAGACCGATTCGTTACCATCAAATGAATTTACGAATAAAATGTCTCCATCAGTAACAAATAATAACATCAACGATAATATGACAAAAAAATCAAGTAATAAACAAATATAATTTAATCATACATAAAAGCTTTATAATTTGCATATTTATTCAGGTCCAGCTATTCCACAAGAACAACAACCAATACTGCCACCACCACCACCTCATCAACAAGTAGAAAAAGTACGAATTAATCTTCAAAAATTACAACATGATCAATTAGGTATATATATATTATAAAAATGAACAATATCGATTAAATATAAAATCTATTCATTTAGCTTCAATAAGAAATGCATCTCCTTCAAAACAACGTTCAATAAAACCAAATGTACCTCAACAATTAAATCATTTACCATCAGATTTTACACCTGATTTAATAAAAGAATTATTACAAGATGGTTATTCCCTTGATAATAATTCAAGTGAACGTCCACTTCGACAATGTCGTTCATCAAATAGTAATACAACATCTCTTAATAATTCTCCAAAGAAAAAACGTATACGAAGTTCATCAACAGATGACGACGATGATGATGATGATAATGATAATTATAACGATGATGCAAATGGTATTGATAATAATAA